CCCCCCTTGAGCCCAATATGGCTGAGATGATGAAGGAAGCTCAGAAACATTGAGCTTGAACCTAAGTTGGATGAATTGAGAGGATGATAAAGGTTTGGTGAGGATGTTTGCCCATTGATCTTGAGCTTGAAGATGAACTACAGAAAGTTGCTTAGTCATGACCTTCTCTCTAACAAAAAACAGGTCGATCTCCATGTGTTTAGTTTTGTTATGTAAGATTAGATTGTGTGACAAGGACACTGTGCTTTGATTGCCACAATAACAGGTTTGGCGATGGGTATAGCAAGTTCCTGGAGAAGAGTTTGCACCCAGAGGATTTCTGCTGTAACTTGAGTTACACTGTGATATTCTGCTTCTGCTATACTACAAGCCACGACGATTTGTTTTCTAGACCACCATGAAATGATATTTGGTCTGAGAAAAACTGCAGCCCCTAAAGTCGAACGATGGTTGTTAGGATCCGCTGCCCAATCTGCATCATAAAAGGCATGTAGACCAAGAGGTATAGTGGTGGACGTAGGACAAAAGTGAAGACCATGGTGGACGGTTCCTTTTAGATAGTGTAGGATTCTTTTGAAAGTGACCCAATGACTATCTAGGGGACAAGACATGAACTGACTTACCTTGTTAACAGAATAGCCTAATATTGATCTAGTGATGGTGATATATGGAAGAGCTCCCACTATTGATCTGTAAAGAGTTTGGTCTTGCAAAAAATCTGATCCTTGCTTTGACAGTTTACTGCTATTGACCATAGGAGTGGATATTGGTTTGGATTCCAACATGTTTTCTTAGATAATAGGTCTCTGATATACTGGCTTTGAGTGAGTAAGAGGGATCCATCTTGTTGTTTTCACACTTCAATACCAAGAAAATAGTTGAGCTGACCAAGGTCCTTAAGAGCAAATACAAATGATGAAGGATCACATTTGCTAGGAACAAAACCAAGATGGGTTAGAGTGTTTTGTAACCTGTCAAACCAGGCCCGAGGAGCCTGTTTTAAGCCATAAATGGCTTTGTTAACTTACAAACCAGATTCTTATTAGAGTGTTCGAAACCAAGGGGGTTGAGTCATGTAAACCTCTTCTTCTAACAAATCATGGAGAAAAACATTGTTTACATCCAGATGATGTAAGGACCAGCCATGAGTAAGGGCAAGGGTAAGAATAATCCTAATTGTTACTGGTTTTATGACCGGGGAGAAGGTCTTGGTGAAATCAAACCCGTACCATTGATTAAATCCCTTGGCAACTAATCATGCTTTGTACTTGTTCAGGGTGCCATTTGGCATTTTCTTTTACACAAAAAATCCATTTGCACCCTATAGGAGTTATGCCTTGTGGAAGAGACATAAGAGACCATGTGTTGTTTTGTTGAAGAGGCTCAAACTTAGCTTTCATAGAAGCATACCAGTCTTTATGTTGAAGAGCTTGCTTGATAGACTTGGGTTCAATATGAGTGAGAAGTAATGTTGGATCTAGTATGCATTGGATGAGTGTTGACTGGATGGGGTGGATGAAGTAGGGTTGGGGGATTAAAGGTAGAACTAATACTTGTGGAAGAGAGACTAGTGGGGTTTGGATTGTCGTTGGTGGCGGGTGAAGTGGAGATAGGGACAACATGATACGGAGTGGCTAGAGGAATATATGATGTAGGAAAAAACAGACAAAACATGACTCTTGGTTGAGTGAAAAAGTCTAGTACAAGGAAAGTTAGTTTCATTGAAGATTACATCCTTGGAGATGATCAAATTGCCTGCTGAAGTAAGACATTTATATCCTTTATGAGTAGTAGAATATCCAAGAAATAGACATTCTTGAGAATGTAAATTCAGTTTGTGTTTGTTGTATGGTCTGAGTAGAGGATAACAAGAACATTTGAAAACCTTTAAAAACTTGTAAATGCGGCAATTGTTTGAATAACAACTTGTAAGGAATGAAAAATTGTACCAATGATGAGGGTAACCTGTTGATAAGATATATTGCAGCCACAAATGCATGATCCCAGAATTTTATAGGTTACGATGCTTGATGTAGTAATGTGAGGCCTATTTCCATAATGTGCCTATGCTTTCTTTCCATGACACCATTTTGATGGTGTGTATGCAGACATATCAGTCTATGAATAACACCGGTCTCAGTAAGGTATTTCATAAGAGGTCTGAATTCACCTCCCCATTTAGTCTGTAAAGTTTTAAGACAATGACCAAACTGAATCTGCCATAGCTTTAAATTTCTTGAATGTTTCAAATGTTTCCACTTTAGATTTTAATAGATAGAGCCAAGTGAATCGTGTGTAAGCATCAACAAAGGACAAAAATAGTTAAAGTTGTTAGTAGACAAAGTAGGAGCTGGTTCCCATAGGTCACTATATACAAGCTCTAAGGGAGCATTGTAAGTAGTGGTTGACGAATTAGAATGTATGCGATGTGATTTTTCAGCACTAGTGGAAAAAAAATGAAACAAATTTTTATTTGGTAGAGAAATATTACATTGTGATAGGGCTAGTTTCATGAAGTGTACATTTAGGTGTCCTAATCTGTTATGCCAAATTATAAAGGAAACATCATTTTTTTGAGGCATTTACATTTGAAAAGGAAATGGTGTTCATTACAGGAACACTAGTACAATTGGAAAACAGAGACTATTTGAATAGATCAGGAAACTCATAGAGTCCATCAACTCCGACTTGGCCATGTAGCTAAACTTTATGGCTGGCCAAAAGATTTGACAAGGCAAATATCAGGATGAAACTCAAAATATACTGAATTATTCATGACAAATTTATGTATAATTACAAATGAAATGAAAAGCAAATGAAATAACAAATGAAAATATGTAAAAAACTAATAACAGAGAAATGATAATATCTTACAACTTTTTTCTTTAATTATTTATTTAAATGAAAATGTTATTTATTTTATGTATCTTTGCTTTAATTGTGCTATTCAAGTAATATTATCTTTTATTGTGTGTTTGTTATCACTCTTTTATATGTACTGTTATTTTTTAAAAAATATTTTATTCTTAATTTGATTAAAAAAATAAACTATATTTAGACAGAAGTATTAAACTCCTGATATTTATTACTTTAATCGGTAATATAACAATATGGAAAATTTTAGTAGTTGACAATCATGAGAATAACATCAAAGAAATGTTTGAAATTTTGATATCTCAAACTAATTTTAATTATGTTGACAATTATTATATTTTGATACATTTAATGTTCTTCTAGAAATAAAACTATTAAACTTTATGTAGGTGATTTGACTTATATTTATTTTAATTATATGATATGAATAATTTTTCATTTTATATATGATAATTAATTATATTAAAAAGATTTACATATAAGATTACAATATATACACACTCAGTCCTATGTGTCTCTGCCACTAAATTTTTAAATCGGCTCTCTTTAATTTGAAACTTGATTGCATTGCATCAGTGAGAAGGAGGAATGGAATGTTCAATTACAGAGGCAGAGGCAGAGGCAGCAGAATGCGATCTCTCCATTCCAATTGCAAGGGGTGGACCCATATACGTTCCCAACATGGTCGGACCTTCCACTAGGGTTCCTCAATTTCAGACTTCTCTTCTTTCTGAACTTGAGGTCAGCTCACTATCTCTTGTCTCTCCCCTCCCTTTCATCTTTTTTTTCCCCCCCCTAATTTCTGCCTTTTCGTGCAGAATCTGAAGGCCGAATTGTCTGAAGACTTTTCTCATCTTGATATCTCGTATGCATTCTGCCTCTTTACAATTACTACCTTTCTCAAGTCACCACTAATTGACAATGATGATGCCTTTACAGGGTGGATGACCTTAAAATTTTTACAGAGGATGAGTTAATGGATGTGGCTCTCAAAGAAGTATTTCAGGTATATATATGCTCTACTGATTTTTCTTTTCTTTTTCTTCTGCAGTTTTTTTAAGTTTTCACTCTTTTGGTTTATTACTTTAATGATGGAAGTGATATTACAGGATAGGGAGGAGAACGACGAAAATCATCCTCCACTCTTGGACCAACCCAATGCACTGTCAGTTTCTTGTTTCTTTTTCTTTTTTGTTGTCATTGTTGTTGTTGTTGCTGCTACTACTATTGTTGTTATTGTGTTTAGACTATCTAATGGGGGAATTTGGTTGCCCTTGCCCCCACTTTACAGGACCTTTTTTCCCATGTTCTATTATTTCTTGCTTCTTTAAATTTTAGTTCACATTTTGGTAATTTTTATATAATTTGTATATTCTTTTTCTATTAACTTTACCATCATCTTTCATTTTTTTAGCTTCATAACTTTGTTCTTATTGCTCCTAGATTGATGGTGATTATGTGTGTAAATTGTGACTTATTTATTATTCATCACAAATTTCTTTTTCTTAGTATTTATATGTGTAGTATAATTTTTTTAGTTTGTTTTATAATATTTAAGATAGTGGCCATCCTCCTTCACTGTTCACTCTATCCTGCTATAGCATTTTAGAGTTGGCTGCTATGTGCCACTATCAAATATTGATAACTTTGCCTATTCTGTCCTTGAAATTTCTTGCAGATATGGTTGTTATTTTGTGTATTTGTGATCTTTTATCAAGTGATAGATAATTATGTAGTTGTGCTATACTTGTACTTAATTCATAAGTGCATATGCTGAGAGTCTGACAACAATAAAGTTTGTGTGTACCATTCATTCTCATTCTCTGTTTCAACTCTCAACTTCAATTTCAGTTTGCAACTTAATTAAAGAAATTCTTGTTGGATTTGGCTTCAGGTGTCTTTTGAAGAACTCAAAGAGAAAGAGAAAGGGAACAAACAATTCTATTCTTGAAGTATGCTAACTCTCTAAACATTTATGTTTTTCCCTATAACTATTTGATGCTTATATTATATTACTTTTGTCAGTTTAGTGCCTGAGATATAGAAGTTTATTACATGAATTAGAAGTTGAGAATTGGCCATTCTAACATTAATTAAAGTTTTTAACAGTTTATTTTGGTTTATGAAGAAAACTACATCTTCATTCACAAACTAAACCATTCAGTTTCAATTTTTATTCTTTTGCTCCTATCAGAATGTCGAATCTTTTTATCTGTTAGAATCCATTTTAAATCCAATTGGCACCAGGTAATGTGGCCCAATAGGTATATAAATTACACCCAAGTAATTGAGACAACAATGTGGGGCTTTCCAACACTTCCCTTCATAGATGCCTGCTAGACCAGGAAATACACAGCAAAAACTACGGAAATGATAGAGATCCTCTTACAAGCCACAAAAACCACATAAATGAGGGATAGGCTCTGATGTCATTTCAAAGATCAAGTTGTATCATGATAAAACTCAAGAAAGGTTTTAGGAAAAACTGTATAGTTCTCTGGCCTTATTCTCATTAAATTAAAAAAAAAATCCTTTATAAAAACATAATTCTATTCATGGTAGGAGCGTAGGAGAACATTAATGCTATATTATGATATGTACACAACTACACATAATAAACATGGGACAGTATTAATTACAGCTTGGCCTCGGTAGCTGGTTGACATGTCATCTGATAATCTAGTAGGCATAACCTAGTTTTGGATAAGCATGTTGTGTTCATAATTCATACCCCATAACCATTTCTATTTTTCTTTTGTCATGATTTTTATTATGTTTGCTGTTAGAATAGGTTAGTTATATTATTTAAACAGTTAAAAACGGTTTTGTGGAATTTGACATGAACCTTTCCTGATCTTTTTGGACCATTCATGTATTGAAAAATTCCTAAAGCATGTTTAGCATCAAATATGTGTTGTCAAATCTTATATACAGCCTTAACAGTCTTTTTGGGTGGAGGGGGGGTTATGTATCTCTTCTTATGTATGATCAATTTTCAGAGTGATTGTATAGAAAAGGTGGAGCAAGTGGTGAGAATCAAACAGAAGCAGGAAGAAGACAAAGCAGCAGTCAAACTTCATTCATTTAGGTTGGTATTACTAGTATTTGTGTGATTATTCCTTTTGGTTTGTAAGAACTGACTTCATGTATCTCGTCTTTGTTTAGTCCTGTTTGCAGGATCAATGATGCTGCACATAAGCCAACTAGAACAGAAAGGATGAGGTCCCTTAGGTCTACAAATTCTACCAGAAAGGTGAAATTCTTATTATTGTTGCTTGTGAGATTGTTTGGTTCGATTTGAAAATGCTTTACTGATTTATCCAACTTTTAGACGTCTTGAAGCAATTATTTCAGTTATAGTTCTCATATGTGTACCTTCTAAGCATTGGCTTTCTGTATTGCTAGTCTAATCAATATTCCTTTTTCAGTTGGATTAAATATTTTATCTTGAAGAAAAGATGAGTCTAACCAAACCAATTAAAAACATGAAAATTGAGTGGTATAATTTTTTTTTTGTTCTATATCCATATGCAACTTTCTTGCTGCTGACTAGTGACTACCAACACAAGTTGGTTTTACCATTTCTGAATGGCTACAAGTGCAAAGTTGATATTATAAATGTGTGTGCATTTCCCCACTTATTTTGACATTTATATTCCCTATCATAATTCAGATTTAATGTTTGGCAGGTCAACACAGTCAGCCTTCAGGAACACATACCTGTGCTTTATCCAGAAGTTGTTCTGTCTGTGGAGGTTTACCATAATGTTCGAAAGGGTGCCAAGGTATTCAATGCCGTGCTGATGTTAATGAAATGAAATTCAATATATGATTTATAGAAGGAATCATGTATAGATACCATTATCAAATAGCTGATTAACAAGTAGGACCTCTGTTCTTTTATTTTTGAGTAGATCCAAGAGTTGTTAGTTCTTGGAGGTCAGACTTTAGCTGCTTTGAGAGACAAGATCTTTTGCTCAACAGACCAGGTGATGCACAAAGCTGGGCAGGATGATCCTTCTGGCTATTTTCTCATTGAAGTACGTACCATACTGCCATTACTTACTCTCATAATGTGGTGTTTTTTTTTCTTCTTTGAATCTGACAAGAAGCTTTTTTAGGATGTATTCTGCCCTGATTTGAGGGATCCGTCTGCCAGTGATCTCACCAGACCTATACTGGATTGGCTCCACAACTCCAAGGAGGAGGCACAAAAGAAATGGGAACATATTATAACTGGGGAATTGCAGCAGAAACAAAAAGCCATCATGGGTGCAGGAGAATCTGCATCACAGTTGCCTCATTTTAGATCTATTGAGATGCACAAGATACGCTTTTGTGACTTGAGTTTTCGACTTGGTGCTGGATACCTCTATTGTCATCAGGTACTTTCCTTTCTGTCTCAGATTAATTGTTTGGTTGTTGCCTTATATATATAACTATACAATTTTACTTTTTAATAGAACATTGCTCACAAAACTTGGTATGACAAGTGAAGGGGAAGTTTGACTATGGTTGTGTTATTTTATAATTGTTGAATGCCTTTCAAGTTAAAAGTGAAAATGTCAAATAACATGATTTGACCTCTGTGACATGATGCTAGATGTAGTCTGTCGGTTTTATTGAGTAAAATATGTTCTTTAAACGAGCAGCCATAGAGACCATGCAAAGATGGATTAGCTGATACAAGACTGCTCTTATCGATGGTAGTTATTGCTTTCAGTATTCGAGGACAAAAGGGCACGTAGCTGTAAGTTTATTACTTTTTAAAAGGCAACTAATTATATTAATATGGGAGTCAAATGGTTCAATTACAAAACTTGAGGAGGCCATCAACGATTGGTTTATAAATAAAAAAGGGAGACGATTTATTGAGCTCTGGCAAACGGTAAAAGCAATGCCTTTGTTGAGTCCCAAATAAGATGATGTTTCATGTGGTCAACCGCTGCCTTATATTTATGTAAAATATAAAATTTGTAAGTTTGATACACTTTGTAGTTCTCGATTGTTTTAACTTTGAAGACTTTTAATGTGGCCTGTTCTCTGCCTGAACCTGCAGGGTGACTGCAGCCATACCTTAGTGATTCGAGATATGAGGTTAATTCATCCCGATGACGCACATAATCGAGCTCTTTATCCAATAATCACGTTTCAAGTGAAGCTACGTTTTCAGAAATGTAGTGTTTGCAAAATATTCAGAGCTACAAAGGTCACGGTGGATGACAAATGGACACCAGAAAACCCTTGTTATTTTTGTGATAAATGTTTTTCCTTACTTCACCTAGCAGAGGATGGTTCGGCATTATATACTGACTTCATAGAGTATGATTACAACCATGATTAATTGCTGTTAGCCTCGGAAGAACACCAGCGGGCGAGCGAATAAAGTCATTCTTTACAAGAATCTCATTGAGAATTGATTTTTCATTGTTTATTGAATTCTGTATCATTGTAAAATAAATTCTTACAAAGTCGACAGTGTAGGAAATAAATTGTTTGAAGATGCGTATGTACAAGTTTTGTTATGATCGTGTATTTCGGATCTATTCCAAGTAGAACTAAAGAAAATAACAGGTAATTTTGTAGCATACCAAAAAAACATTAAAATACTAATTCAGTTTCTTCTTCCTCTAAAGATAAAAGTAAATGCATTTTCAACTCAACAGGTTCAGTTTAAGTAGGCCGTCTTGTTACTCAAGCAACTTTACCTCTACAGGTTTGGAATCCACATTTCCAACTGCAAAAATATTTTGATTAAACCACCCTTACTATCTGCACAGCTGAGCATACTTTTGACTATGAACACTTGTCTGTGTGACTATAGTCATTAGAGAAAAACAGTTTCTTCACGCATCGTTGCATTGTCTATGCAGGTTGGCAGATGCTTAGATTATATTAAATATGACCTTTATCATAACATTTTTTTTTTTCTGTTTCTTTTATTTCGGCCAAGGAAGACATGATCTATTGTACCTTATCCAATTCTGTACGATTACTGCGTGACTGAATTGAGGCCTTAATGGTGGGGATATCTTTGTATTTTCAAAGCCTTTGACCCTGCAAGTGCTTAGCCCATCTTCTTGCCATGTAAGGGTCATGAAAATCCCAGCTTTCGACGCTGCTATTCCTGCCAACCCTATTCATATCCCTCATTGTTTCCTCAGCGCCTTCTGTCACACTACCTTTATGGTCTCCCAGACCTACAACAGTTTCCCCTGTTCTTCTAACACACTCATCAATATCTCCTTCAGTGTAGCTATATTCTACATATACACGTGTACAGTTACCCAGGTCTAACAGAACTCTCCTTTCTTCTCCGCCCCTCATCTCTCCAATTCTGATGACCCTGCCACTGCCAACTTCCTCTACAGTTCTACATATTCTCAGCTGGATATCTCGAACAATGCCTCCCAACATCTTGGACAAGAACCTCTCGAACTCTTGTATGACAAATCCATAGGAAGTGCCAAAGCCAAATCCCACATGAAATCTGTGAATGGGTGTAGATGGCAGTTCCATGCTTATAGCATTGTATTGCCTTGTGGGGTTATCTGATAAATGCAGGATACAGGACTTGAGGTTCTTGTGGGTGCGATCTTCCAGTATCTTAATACCCTTCTTTAACCCTTCAACTGGGTCAGCTTGTCCCATATAAAATAAACTTTCAATAACTTGAAGGGCAGTGCGCTTCCCATAAGATGACATGCGTCTTAGGGGGAACACACGTGCTGCATCAGAGGAGTATGTAACAATTGCCAAGCGATCAGTGTGTCTGAGGGAGAAAACAACCAGAGCCATTGCTTGCTTGAGAAGCCTTAGATGTGGTCCATTGGGGCTAGCAACTAATACTAAGTCAGTTGCTCTTTCTTGGGCTAGTTTCAATGAAAGATAAGATGTATTGGAGTTGGAGGAAGGGCACATTATACTATAGGGTGTTTGCGTAGGTGGAGACTGTGACAGTGATGAGGAGCTGCTGGATAAGGGATGAGGGGATAGATGGCAATGACATGAGGCATGCTTGGTCACTTGTGAAGCTGTGTTAAGACTAGCATGTGCATTTGGTGGAACAAGTTCAAGAGAGAAACACAGTTTGGGTATGTCATGTGCATCATCAGGCTCAACAGGGTCATCATCATCATAGCGAGTGGAGTGCAAAAGAGTGTGGCGATGAACACGGAATGTAGCAATAGAATCATCAAGAATTCGCAGGATAGGATCACCACAGAGGTTATTGTTGGGGTTGCGAGGGAGCTGGCTCCATTGGGCACGGCAAATTGGGCAAGTGACATTACCATGGCGGACATTGGAGGAGATACAAGCAAAGTGGAATGCATGAGAGCATTGAGCAGTGAATATAGCTTGGCCTTGATTGCTGCCTTTGCTGTTGTAACTCAGAGGATCTAAACATATTGCACACAAATTCTGCCAAACAAGTAAACCAAGCATGAGTCAAAAGAACAGTCTATGCAATGCAGGAATTCATATATATTCATGACTGAGAAAAGTTAGTTTTAAAAGTGATTGCTTATTGATATTTTGTTTTGGAATAAATTAATCAATGAAATGAAAGTTCTGTTACCAAAAGAGTGAAAAGCATGCTTAGTTTGCTTGTTTGTTGGGAACTTCTAGTTCTAGGTCTATGTACTTACTGCACAGTACCTAGAGAGAAAAGGGATGACTACCACGGTTACAGTGTGATGTCATGTCACACACACCTCAAAATTTTTCAAAATATTAATGCATTGAAACAAACAACCGTTATTGAGAAATTAAGATTAAACACAGCATAAGCACAACGCTGAACTGAACAGCAGGTGGAACAATACTAAAATTTGAACTATTTATGCCAACATTTATACAAAATGCATTTCAACATACATGTATCACAATGCGGGGTCTGCAATTAAAATGAATTAATCCTTGGCTGCGCTAATGCACCATGTGCAAGGGGCATTCGCCTGCTAGAATTCTCTATTCTACATGGTGCTCTTACTAAATTTCAGAACAGAGGGAAATGAAGGGAAATGAAGGGAAAAAGAGGGAACCTTGTTAATAATTTTTGGATGGTTATAAAATAGTTATCTCGAGGTTTTATTTACCCTTCCCTTTCATTCATTAATCTTTATAACTTCGCATTCTATTATTTATTTCTAATGAAGATATCTCAGTCATTTTATTGTTTACTTACAGACATTATAACATCAGATGAAAATCTAAACATCAGCTAGGCATCTCTGAAAAAAGCTAATCCTTGCTAACTTAACAAAAACCTGTGTTGCCTGTGGCTTAAGTAACTACAGTTTACAAGAAAATTTACCTTATTAGGAATGTCATTGTCTTTGATTTTAGTCATGATACGACAATCTGTTTCTTCTCTTTGCTCCCTTGAAAAGGTTTTTGTTGTTGATGGAGATACAGATAAGGAATTTGGGTTCTGCAAACATGCACAAAAGCAACCACTCTGAAATTCTTCTATTTCTACCCTCATAAGGTATTTGTTAAACATGAAGTTAATAAGTAAATTTGAAGTTGTTGAAAATAACAAAGGCAACAACCACATAAGAATAATAGTAATCAAGAGGGGTAAGTGATCCCTATTAGAAAAGTAGAAGGTAAAAAATAAAAATACTTTTAATTCTGTTGAATTGAAGTGAGGAGACATTAGATAATTATATAAGAAGGAAGACACTTGTGTTAAGCAAGAATTTGATAGGTTATTCAAAATTGTGAAGAAGGTTTGCAGCATTTTGAGAGAAATGCAAGATAGAGTAGTGTACAGTTGGAGATGGAGAAGTTGAGGTGTGAATGGGGAGTGGATGAAGCACAGGTTTCAAATTCCTCCAGCCACATGCAGCCACAGCCACTTTACTTGCTGCATTTCTCAGCTTCCATGCTCCTCTCTTGCTTCTTCTGCTTCCTCCCTCACTCTCACCCTCACTCTTACCCATTTGTTTTTGAATGCCAAAGAGAGAAAATGAACAGAGCAGAGACAGAAAAGGACCTCTTTCAACTTCACCAATGTTAGTCACTACTCACCGTGATATGATATATAATAATATTATGTATGCACACGCACATGCTTGCAGAGTACAGAGTACGGATACAACTACTTACAACTCAACTCGGTCTAAAGCCCACACCGACTACTAGAAAGTAGTAAATGTGGCTTGGCTGCCCTCACATTTACCATCAACACTTCACACACTATATATGGAATTTATCCTTTCTACCATTCTCCCTTGCTTTTAATTTCTGAATGCACAATTTTTTTTTTCTTGTTTTATTAAGCTTCTTTATAAGCCTTCTTAAAAAATTAGAAAAAAAATTAAAATATTTTTTTAGGTTAAAAAATCAATTTGTATATAAATTTAAAAAAAAAATGAGATTTTGAAAACACTAATAAGATAAAACCTTTGCAACATAGTTTATGCATAATTTATGAAAAAAATTATTTCATCTTTCCTTCTATTTTACTTTTTCTAAAAAAAATGTGTAATGAATAAATTTACTTAAACATATTCTTATTATATATCTTATATTTATGTGAATTTTACAAATTTTTTTGATAAACGGAAAAAGAATTTATAATACTTACATATTTTTTTATTTATTAACGGAGCTAGACTCTCTAACAGGAAAATTTATAATTTAATTGGAAATATACACACCTTGTTTTTTTTTTTTTAATGTTTATATTCCAATATTGGCAATTGCTCTGAACATGAATTGATATGAGTACAAAATGGCATGCGAAACATTTTCCTTATCTAGGCTTCTTTACTTTTTTTTTATCTTTTCCGAACTAAACAAAAGTACTTTTTTTTTATTAAAAAAGTTACCAAATGTAGCATGTTTTTTAAATTTTTGAACTCTTAGTTAATACTACTATTATGTAAATCTCTCTATTATTCAATGGTCAACATAAAATTATGTTAAAGAATATAATGAAAAGTCTGTATAAATACTATTTACTATGAAATGAATGTTGTTATAGGTTAACTTTTGATTTAGTCTTTTTCTTTTAAGAGTTAGCTATGTTTGGTGGGATCCTTTTTCTAGTTTTAAGGGAAACATTCTTAAGGAATAGATGCGGTTTACCTTCCTTTTATTTTTATTGTCCTTTTTTTTTCTTTTGAATATATTTTATTGAGTATGTTGTAAAAGTCTTTATAAGGTCAATGTTGTTGAAATGTCTTGAATAATATTAATGCCTTTGCATGTTTCACATTTTTACTTACTAAAAAAATAATCTTTTAACATTTTTTTGTTGGTTTGATTTTCTATTATTTGGTGGCTTATAAATACAAGAACATGTTATTGTATTATTACCATTTTTTTTAGGAAGTTGTATAATTATTCAATTATATTGTATAAGAATATTTTTAAGAATTTTTATTTTTATTTTTTAATTTTATATCTAATTTAATTTTTATCTATCATAAATATTAATACTTAAAAATAAATCATCATTAAATAAAAATAATTTTGTGTTTCAATTTAAATTATTTATCATAAATCTAAAATATTTTTTTATAACATATAATAAAGGTGAATGCCACATTTGATATATATATATATATATATATATATATATATATATATAGACATTTTTATCTTTAAATTTTTAAATAATAAAATATAATATTAAAAATTAATTATTCTTAGATAGATAAGACTTAAAATCAAGACATTTAAGTTTAAAGACCAAATGCAATATCAATTTATCTACCAAACATTAGTAATTTTTTAAAAAATTATTAAATAAAGTATAAAGACATAAAGTGTTTCGATTCCGCTAGTTTTATATAAAATAGATAGTCAAAATAGTCTAAGAAATTGTATATCGTTCTATTTATTCAATTTCATAAATTAATTTGACTATTTACTCAATTTATATATTAAAAAAATTATTTATTTAAATATAATATTTATTTATATACATAATTTATTTTAAATTTCAGTTATCTATAATAAAAATATAACATGTGTGTTGCACAAACTAAAATACTAGTTTTTTTTTATTTTAAATATGCTATACCTTGTCTTCTAATTATTAATTTCTCCCTCTTTTATCCATTTTATTTTCTAAAATACATAAATAAAAACAGTTTCTCTATATTTATATTTTATTTTCATAATTCATTTTCTTATATAAATTACTTATTTTTTATTGTGAAAAATATATATTACTTTCATTTTTCAAAAATTACATTATTTATGTCTTTGATATTCTTTTTTATTTTATAATATATATATATATATATATGTTGGAAAAAATTTATTTACATATTATAAAATAAAATGAATAAAAAAAATAAAAAAAATTGACAATTGAAAGATAAAAATATTTATCATCGTATTTACAATATTAACTTAATTATCTATTTTATAGCGTAAATATTCAAGTCAGGATTACTTTATTAAAATAAAATTATAACAATGTTCGGAGACTAAAGTGATATCAAATTAAAATCTTAAGAACTAAAGTGATATTGAGTTACAATTTCAAGACCAAAGTATTACACTCTTACAATTTCAAATATTAAAATGATATTGTGTTTTATAGTCATATATCACATTGAATATATACATAAGGTAGTACACTCATGTCACATATGTCACTTCACATATATATCACGTGTATGTCACATGATATTGTTGTGTCACATAGATACTTTCGTTTAAAAAAATAGAGCTTATTAAATGGAAAGACTTAACGGAGTGAATAATTACATTTTTGAGAATTTTTTTTTAGTTTCTTTAAAATCAAGAACTAAATTGAGAGCGATATATAATTTTAGTGGCTAATTTAACTTTTTACTCACAAAATAGTTTATAGAGATCCATATTTTAATATTATTTTTCTTTTATTCTTGAATTATATGGTTTAATATAATTAAAATAAAAGTGTATAAATGTAAACAATCTTTATTTACATAATTAATTTTTAAGATTAAATTAGATTCAAATTACAATTTTTAAATATCATAATATATTCTAGTGATATCTATTATTTATGATATCAGATCTAAGAAAACTCTTTTTGAATTAATTTTTAAAATTGAGTTAAATTCAAATTTAAATTTTAAGATGATCTATTAAGTATTGATCTAACAAAAGATCGGATCTTAATGTATTGAATAATATATTTTAAAGTTTTTATTTCATCTTCTAATTTGTTTGTTTCAAGATTAAACATTTTTAAAATTGAACATGAAACAAGCAATTTATGTTATTGAATCTTGTGCATTTTGAATATGAGAAAAGAAAGGAAGCAAGGTAAAATTATCAGATAATGTAAAAGGATAAAAGAAAACCATAGAAAGAAGGTACAGAGGTGCTTTTGTTTTGTTTCCTTTCTTTTTCTTTTGTTTTGATCTAAAAAAGAATAAATCGTCCCAATTGAATTCTACTGTCCTACAAGACCATCCAAACCCAATGCTAGCTCCTATTCTTTTTCCCTTTAAACTCTCTTTCAAAGTACCTCAAATGCATAGGGTCCTATTTTAGTTCTATAGTAACCTATGTTCTAGGAAATGCCATAACTATCCATATCATACTATCACCATAAAAAGAGAAAGAACAAAAGGGGGTAAGCATGCTATAAAATCCAAAGTAAAAATTTTACCATGTCAAAATTTAACTGCAGTAATTAGTTTAGCATGACAACACTGAAATTCGGTCGGAATGTTTTAGGTAAGGTTTAGTCTTTAGATAATGATCTCAGCCAGACTAGATTAGGGGTGTGTTTGAGAATCAATTGAACTTAACTGAAATTGAAGAAAAAAAAAAAATTACGCTCACAAATTTTTGTTTTTTTTTTTTCATATCAGAATACTGTTATTTCATTAAATTGAGTTTTAAACTGGTATTCAAATATATACTAAATCTATCAACTTAACTAAATAAACATTTGTTTTATTTTGTTTTAGAGTAGTAATCATATATTATTTTACTCAGCACATTGAAAATTATATTTAAAACATTTATCAATTTCTTATATCCTAAAATATAATTTATTAATTTGGGCAAACTTGAAGTAAGACATATAAGAAGCAGACAAATGTTGAGGGTAATCAATCACTAAACTTGGTTGTACTAATATTATGGCAACAATAGTGTCATCAAAATGGGACAATTTTCTTGAAAACAAACTGCACCAGTAGAGATAGGAAACGACATGCACGAAAGCACAATGTTGATAGCATTGAGAGCTCACAGAATCCTTCTTTTTGTGAGTGACTTATTCGAAAGAAATATATTGTTGATCCTCTCATGCACATGAAAAGAAGGTAAAGGTGAAAGCTTCCTTGTGTCCACAAATTCTTGGCGCTAGCATTATGTCATGTTGCTTGCTCAAATTGTAGAATTTGATGTAGTCAAATCAATCAAATATATTACTAAAAGGGGGTTGGAATTAAATTATGCATAATTAAGTTGTCTTTCCAATCTCTGCATCTTTGTATTCTTTCTAATCAACAATTAATATTAATAGTCTTTGACCTTATTGCAGTTCCCGAATTGTTTCGGCGGTTGTTAATAGGACAAGTTTAGGGGTTAAACGACCATTATAATGCAGTTTTACAAATAAAATATTAAAATGAGGCTATTTTGAAATATATTACACCTTTGGGACTCTTTAATTGGGTGTCGCTATGGCCCATAAACATATATATTATTTTTTAAATACAAAAATTGTTTACAAATTTATAAAAAATTAACAGATAAAAGGGAAAATAAAAATTCATATAATATAAAATGTAAATTTCAAAAAATAAGTAATATAATGTAAAAAAATAATTCATAAATAAAATTTTTTTTTAAAAAATTTGGGGCGCTATGGGCCACACCTCCACTCAGGCGCTGTGGCCCATAGCGCCAGTTACGGAAAATATATATATTATTTTAATGTAAAAAAATTATTTAAAAACGAATAAAAAAAAAAATTTGGGGCGCTATGACCCATAGCTCCTTTTGGGCGCTATGGGCCACAGCGTCAGTTTTAAAAAAATACATATTATTTTAAAATTACTTTTTTATAAAAATTTGTTTTCTTTTTATAATTATATAATAATAACTTTCAGTTAATTATATTTATTCTACATTATTATTAATTTCGTATTTTTTTTTCTTTGCTTAGTGTCGCTATGGGCTATATAATGTTTTTTAGCCCATCAGGTGTGGTGCTTCAGCCTATAGCGACAGTGGTCCAGCCCAACCAAGCCAAAAAAAAAAAAAAGCCACGTGTCATGGGTGTCGCTATGACCCATAGCGACACCCATGAAAACTACCCCAAAGGTGTAAAATGTTTCAAAACAGCCCCATTTTGGTAATAAGTTTCTAAAGCTGCCCCACAATGGTCGTTTAGCCCAAGTTTAGGCCTTTTCCAATTGTTTTGACACCCCTACTTTTGAAGGTATGTGATTGAACTGAATAGTCCCTTTTGAATCTTTTCATTTCCAATCTGGACCACAAGAAAAAAAGAATAAAACAGACACATGCATATCCTTGCGGCTGTTGGGATGCAAGTAAAGTCCCACATTGTTTGTTTATATATACACACTTGTCTCCATTGGTCAAGAGGCTTTTTGGGTGATGTCCAAAAGCAAAACCGTGAGGGCTTGGGCTCAAAACAAACAATCTCTCACCAATGTGGAGACATGTGTATATGCGTATAACCCCCTCCGGTACACAAAAGACATTAGGTAGGTAGGTCTTTTTCACTTATATACGCTCCTCCTCAAGCGGAAGCTTTTTAACTTTCCTCCACGAGTATTCAATGGGGAGCACTCCATATAGTGGGTAGTGACTAAGTCACACAAGTGAATTTGACACCACAACATAACCTAAAATCTTAAGGCATTAGGTAGGTGAGTCTTTCTCACTTATATATTACTCGACATGCCCAACTCTAACCAACGTGGGATTTCACTTTACACTTGTACTCCAACAGCAGCTTTTACAAATCATATCATTAGCAGGATTATAAGAAAGGAAAATCATTGGCTGATTTGAATTTGATTTTCTGTTTTAGAACTGGATGGGAAGCCACATTTCATTTTATACATGCATATACCTCTTGCAATTTCCACCGTAAAAGTGATCAACGTCAATGGGTATGAGATGCAGAAACATACATGTTGTTAATATATTACTAGAGCCATATCCAAAGTTTAAGAAGTGACAATTAATCCCATTTAATTTTACATGACTATTTAAGCCTTTCTCATCTCAAATTTGGCTTATTTAACTACGAAAGTATGATTAAAAAATCAAATTATAAGTAATTTGCAAGTTTACTAGATGAGCAGTGTCCTAATAATTTGTATACAATGGAGAACACAAAACTGATATTTGGGTTGTTCACTAGTCAGTTTTTATCTATACATTTTAGGACTGAGTTAGGTGGGCCTACAGAACATGGCATTCTAAAAAGATAGAAACAAATGAACACCTTTCAAGAAGAATGACCAGCAACAGCAAGCGGGGAATGATCCATTTGAAAGCGAAATATCTTTCGTAGCACCAAGTGATCTATTGTATAGACGTATTCACAGAACAATTTCAAATCCCAACATGGATTACAACTTATACAATTTTAACTATTGTGAAAAAACCTTAATTTAAGTCTCTAAACAATTCATATTTACCTAATCAATGTATGAAGACAAAATATGAAAACCTATAATATTTAAAGGGGTCAAATGAGATTAAAAAAAATTATAAAGAGGTTATTTAGTGAAGAAAAATACTTTAAACGTGGCTAATTCAAAAATGTATTTAATAAAGAGGTTGTGTAGAAACTATCCTAAATATAATTTTTAAAACACTTTATAAAATATAATAGTTTATGATTGAATAACAATGTTAAAAAGTTTTATACTATCAAAATAAATTCTTCAAAAGAATTAAAATGAACAAATAACGCTATTATTATAACACTGGTAGTGGTAATGGTGTTCGAAGCATTGTCGGATTTTCCGTGTTTGCTTAGAACTTGACATAATCATAAATCAGTATCATTAATCATAGATCTTTAGCTTCCAAAAAACAATGCATGCATGCATTGAATAATGAGAGTGAGAGGCCCATAACTCGTGTGAAGTTTTAGTCCGTCCAAAGCACATAACAACACGAGTGACCATTGACCAATCAAAAGATATATAGCACTCAAACAATAAATAAATAAATAAATAAATGCATTGGACTTAAATTATGCATCATCAATTATCATTCCAATCACCAATAGTCTTAGATCCCACATTCCGTGGTGGTGGTTAATACAACAAATTTTGGCATTTCTAATTGTTTTGACACTTTTGATGTGATTGAAATTGAATTGCATAGACGTTTCCTCAATCTTCTTGTTTCCAATACTAGCACTCTTTTACAAATCAAATCGTTGTTACTAACAAGGTTTATTCAAATTTGATTTGGGTTTTAAAACTGAACGGTAAGCAACATTTTCACCTTTAATCATTTCAGTTTCCTCATTTTGAATTTAATCCAAACCCTTTCAAATCATATTTTTTAAGTCAACAGTTTGATCAAACCATTAATCAGAAGATCCAAAATTTAAAAATAAAACAACTATTGTTCATTAAGATTGGATCATTATTTTTATCCCACTTTCAAAATTGAACTGTATCATTGCAATATTATATCATTCTATCTAAATTTAAGTAACTATCCCTTATAGTTAATAAAATTGTATAAGTGACTGTAAGAACCAACATCATTATTATCGAGTCTTTAAGTTTTTCGGGTACTAAAAGATCAAAAGCTCCTCATTATCCAGAATAAATATATTTGTGTTTTTATAATCAAATTACTTTCATATGTTTAAATAGTATAAAAATAAATAGTTCACTATAATAGTCAATCCTCACCGAGAAGCAATAGAGACTTAGAGAGTATCCATACTCCAATGATTGGTTGGAGAATGATAGAGCAGCCCAGTCGAATGGGCCTTCAAAACATGACTTTGATCCAAAACATTGCGATTCTGAAAGTAGCAAATTATTCCTTTGAAAGGGAAATATCTCATATAGCACGTATTCATACAACAATGTGAAGGCACAACATGGATTACAACGTATACAAATACAAGAAGCTATTTTTATAATTTTGTTTCTTAAAACATGAGAAAAATTAATAAGAAAATCGAATTATAGATGTGGTGGTGCTGTTTCTAATCAAACTGCTACTATATCATGTTCTCCTTTCACGGCAATTTCAGTGGCAAAAAGTCCTCTTTCTTATCAACCCTCTTTAAGTAAATTGTGTGTTTGCCTGTTTTCAGAACTAATACTTCACATTACTTCAAGAGACTTCCAAATTCTATTTCATATTTCATAGACTAGCTTACGAGCTAATATAGCTAATTACTGAAAAGGCCAATTGATTTACATTTTTAATTTTTTTATTATCTATTTTAATATATTTTATTAATAAATTAAAGCTAATATTTTAAAAAAAATTATTAATAGTTAAAAATAATTAGATAGCTCAATATAAATTATTTATCATATATTTAAAGTATAATTTATTAGATAAAATAATTATTTATTAAAAATTTTAATTAAGTATAATTTATAAGTAGAATAATACTTATTATAAATTTTAGTTATATAAAAAATATAATCACGTGCATTTTGCGGTGTAAAATATTAGTTTCACTATGAAGTGATCCAAGCAAGGAAAAAATAGAAAAAATTGATGAACCGACACCATTAACCAAAAATGGTACAAAATGGGTCCCACCACCACGTGATCGCATTTCAGAGTTAATGATATTATCATATTTCTTTCTATACACGTCTAACAGCCTGTCTATGGGACCATGCACACTCCTTACTCCTTAGGAATTCACATTTTCCTGATCGACACAATCTTTCATTAACCACTCACTCAATTGTCGGTGTAGCCAATTGAAACAACCCTTTGTGCAGGCAAAATCAATTCTACTCATCACTCAATTAACTTTGTGTTTGGAACAGCGTCAAAACGTGATTTTTTACGTTTGACTGGAAGGAGAAAATAATAGCTTCTCCTTAAATTGCTACTTGGAGAGACAAGGAAATTGAGTTTCAAAATTGAAACCAAACACACACTAAGTCTTATACAACTAAATGAAATACACATTTTATTTACAAGTATCTGCAGGTATGTCATCAAAGTCTGATTTTGGTTGTGGATTTTTTTCCATGACTCGTGAACCAAGGATAATGCATACAAAAAGAATCATACAACTTTATAAAAAAAATACACAGATTCAACTGCATACCTATTGTTCCATGAGATCCATCTATGGATTGATATTACATTCTCTCAAATACACAAGATCATAGTCAACATACTTTGTCCAATAACCTCGAAACTTGGGAATACTTATCTCAAGCCACGGTTTCATGTTTCCATTGTAGTGTATAACAGCAGCCCGATCAATTTCTTTTTGGTTGGTATTGGGGTTGTAGCCAAGACCCAAGACATGCCATGATCGGTGCAGCGGGAAAGTGCGTTTCCAGAACGTTATAAGACCGGGTGGCAGTGTTCCTAACTTCCATAGTTGTCTATCATGATTCTGTACAGTTTAAATACAAAGGAAATATCAGTTCACAATTCAAATCAAAACAAGAACAGGTGCCTGTCTATGTCAAAAGGAGGACACACTGACTCGAAACTGTCTAAATCACGCTTCAAAAATGCTTAACAGAGATTAAGACACAGAAGAACGTGGTCAGAATGAAAAACCCGGCCAGCAGAGGGCTTAACTCACCATAAAGAACAACATAGTAAAAAGGAGCAAAGACTCTAGAACATGTCAGCGGGTTGATAGAACATGAGAAAATATAATTTAAAGGGAGAATAATGAAAATAAAATAGAACTCGCCAAGTTTTAGAGAGCTCAACACCAAAGTAGTAACGGGACATATCAAGCCACGATCCTCTGATATCATGCTAATATTGTGGGATTTTACGTATACATGGAGGGAGAGGTAATCTCTTGTTCATATTAACTAAGATGTATTACAGTTTACAATGTATTGATGAGTGTAAAACCTAGAGCACTAACTTTTACTAGTACTAAATTATGATCCTAACTAATTAAGAAAAGAAATCATGATAAGATGAGTAAATATAGGATAACCAATCCTAAGAGATAATGAGGAAATAAGGAAACAAATCCAATTGAATAATGTAAAATGTGATAAGATATGATTCATATATTCTAACATCATATAATATATAACATATATGTACACATTGTGATATTTCAAAAAGAAAAACGTGTATTGCTTACCAGCTTCTGCCAATTGTGGTACACCTCGGTGATGTTTTGCCTCTTCCACTGGACCAAATCAAAAACATTCATGCCATAAGCCCATCCACATGCCCGAGGGTCAAAATTCTTTGCAATAAGAGGATTTGAGAAATTGAGATAGCGATCAAAACGATGGAAACTTTCTCCACAAGTTTCTACGGCACCATTAACATTGCCCTTCAAATCAATTGACCAAAGACCAGTCAGATCCTTCTGCACAACTATGTCATCATCCAAGAACAGCACTTTGTTGAGCTTTGGAAAGATCTCAGGCAGGTAAAAACGAAGGTGGTTCAATATAGATAAATACTTCGGATTCCGAAACTTTAAGTTTGAATCAGAACTTGCCCGATGAGTCTTAAAGTAATAATCTATCATAGAAGGAGAACCCAATTGCTTAAGAACTGGACTGTAACTTGAATTCAACCATTTAAAGTCTTCAATGTTCTGAACTTGAATGGTTGCCTTTCGTGGCGGATTCACCAAAAACCACATCCTCATTGCCGCATAATTGAGCCTATCAGTAACAATGTGGAAAACATGTTTTGAGGTGTCCTGCAAAATTATTAAAATAACATTATTAATGATATAGCCAGAAATGAAAGTGTCACTGTTAATATCAAATAGTTCTAGTTTCTTTCTTTTCGTTTTTAATTCTTCACTGACTCTGGGGGCCAAATGAAATAGAAGCAACTAACACTGTTTGAGTCAAAATAGACACTGTAGTAATGTAACAGCAAAGACATGCCAAATTTCTGTGAGATAAAAACAACTCATGAAATTTCTGTGAAAATAATTTACCTTAGCATGAGCAACAGTAGAATTCACCACAACAGCTGTTGCCAATATATTATCTGAGAATATTGCATAATGGTATAGTCGAGGGTCTTCTAACTTCTGTTGGTTGGGGAATTGTTGCCGAGAAGTATCCAAGCTATAATACTCGGTTGTGAGGCGCAATGGAAGACAGTGGAGACCTTTAGGCAATGTTTTTGCTGTCAACTGTGTTAAGAACAATGCCTGCTTCCTGTGCACACGAAGCTGCTCTTCTGTTGAGTGGAGAATAGCTCTAAGCTTCTTTACAGCAGCAGCACAATCATTTTGAACTTGCCTTCCTTTCAGCAATGTTTGCTCCATTGCCTTCATTCTCTCATTTGCACTGCATTAGTATAATTTAAGTATAAAGTTGAAGTGATGGCCTAAAGACTGAATCAAATGTAGCTCAATGCAGTATTGAGCTACTCAAAATGCTTATATGGGCAGCTGTAAGATAAAATTAAAAGATTAAATAACTAACTAGGGAGTTATTAAAAAATAGGAAAGCCTGATGACGTCTACAACAAGACTCTTAAAAGCCACACTTACTTCCTGGGCAAATCGGAATCTTTGCTTGCATCCCCTAGTGTTCGCGAGACTTCCTTTACCCGTGCTCGAAGCTCTCGAGTGAGATGAGGATTGTTCCTTACTCCCTGAAGGGAAAGATATACCTTAGCCTGGATGAGCTGGTCTTTTAGTTGCCGTACCCATGCATCACTGGGTGGTTGGTCATTATGCCTATCAGTTTCAGACAATATGGGTCCTTTCCTGTTTACTTTGCTAGAAGATTCAGTATGTTGTTGCTCATGCTTAGTGTCCTGAGAGAAGATGCACCAAATGTAAAGAAGGAAAATTCGATCAATCTACATTGAGGTTTATTTACCTTCATTTTATTAATATAATTAGATAATTTTCTGAAAAAGTATGCTTTGAATATGAAGTTATGTACATTTATGGCAACAATTATTTCTTCCTTTTCCTTAGGCCAGGGAAGGAAATAATTGAAGTTATACGGGAATGGTCTAGGAAAGAATGACCATGGGTTAAGAGTTCAAATATAAAAATATAATTCAGCTGTTGACATTACTTCTACTCATTTTGATTGTCTCGGGCTCAAACTCTCTTTTGAAAAACTACAAGAAATATATTTATGAAAGCCAAAAGAGAGAGAGAGAGAGAGAGAGAGAGATTGAACCCAATCAACATGTCTATATTTATTTACACAATTACACTGCCGTAATTGAACCCTACATATAATAGGTGTCTCAACCCAAAATGTATACAAGTCTGGTCCAAGTTTGTTCATCAAGGAGGGAAAACCTACATATTTAGATTATCCTGGTATTATGTCATCAACTGGACGCAAAGGACATTGGAACATGAATCAATTTTCATTGGCAATCAAGAATGAAGTATGGCAAAGCTATCAATGAAAACAATCAGATCTTAAATTCCTCATAGGATTATCAATTCAAGGTTCAAGCACCAGAAGCACTCAAGATTATTATTATACTTGATAAGTGATGAATAATCCAATATTAGACATACATATATATAACTCGCTTAGCATGACCTAAAGAAAATTTTGTACCCATAATGAAGAAAACAAGCAGAAAAATCAAGAGGCAAATATATCACGTACCATAGTTTCAGATGCCTGATCAGAAGCCTGAGAAGATTTAGCAATTTTCCCTTCATTGTCATCAGCGTCAATAGCAAATTCCCCATTCACAACATCACCAGTTATATCAGCTTTCTCTAGGTAGCTGCTTTGATTTCTTTGATCAATTCCTTCTGTGACCAGTTTGATGGGATTCTCCCCTTTAGTTTGACCTCCCTCATTTGTAGCTGACAAGACCCTGGCAGATACATGCTCTCCCGGTTGGGTCAAGTGCAACCCTGGGCCAACCAAACAATTAGAATGGCCAGTATAGTGAAAAAAAACGGGAAAAACTAAACCCCAGTGGAGAAGGGGAGGAAAAAAACAATCTTTCTGAAAAAGAAGAGCAAACAAAATACCATGAGGCAAATTCTTTGGGTTTGTAGTGCCCTCGGTATATAAAACCCCAATTGGCTCCTTAAGGACAGTGGAAGTTTCCTGTTTTCAAAATGAGAAATTATCAAGGATTTAGTTCATCTGTATATGCAGCCTAAGGAAAATTTCTTCACAAACATGTACAATGGGGCAAAAGGAAAAAGGAAAGATGGAAACTTTACCTGGGGTAGGATATTCAAATGGCCAGAGCCTGCTGCACTGACAGCCTGACACAACATAACATTAAAAACCCTACTAATTAAGAGATCTCATTCTCATTCTACTAAAACAAAGAATTAAATTTGTTAGGGCATATTACTCACAAAAGCAGTTACATCATCAATAAACTCCTGCTCACCTGCAAAGTGCATACACAAGACAAATCAGACAAACAGAGAATTTATTAAAACAAGGCCTTTTCCAATCAGTAAGCAAATTAAGAGAAAAATGAGAGAAACACACCAAAGGGGTACTTGAAGGTGCCAAGACGATCAGTGTAGAGCACAATTGGAGCAACAACAGTAACACAAAGCAACAACAAGACAATATTTCTAGTGGCCACCATTTCTACTCAAACCCCAAAGTTATAACCCACCACTGCAATGATCCCACAGCTTGTGCCTCTACTGTCGCTTTCTCGTGCAGATTCTATCTCATAGTGCACTACACGACCAAAAACAAAGAAAATTCAAGCCAAGACGCAAACTTTTTGAGCAGTAAAACAGACCCATTTAGTGTTTTCTGTTCTGGGCGCGTTACAAATCTGAGAAATGTAGGAAAAAAGGAGGAATAGCGAATCTGAATCACCTACAATGAGTTGGAGAGAAAAGAGTATTGGGGGTAGTAAAGGGAGAGAGAAGCGTTAAGATTTTAGAATGTGGCCTCAAACTCAAAGCACACGACAGATAATAGCCGTTCTTCAAAAGCTGTAATTTTGTTGCAGTGTAAAAGCAGTTCCAGAAAAAGAGAGGAGGAGAGAGAGTTCGAAGATAATAACAAATGGCACTGTGAGAGCAATGAGGAATGAAGAAGACAGAGGAGAGAGAGATGAAAGCACCAAAACCAAAATGCTTAACTAAGATAATGATAAATTGATAATGAATGAATGTTTAGATTTGTTGCAGTCCCCGTGTGGTGTGTTGTGTCGTTTATTCGCTAACGGCAACTCTTTTTGGTTTTTTCCTTCCTCGATAAGGCTTATTGAATGGTTTTTATTTTTGGTATAGGAAATCCATGTTAAAATCTAAAACTAGAAAAAAATAATGAAAAAGGAAATTAAGATTTATTTAATGATTCACGCGGCTGGCACGCGTTCAGTCCACGTGAGGCTGCGCAATCGCATGCCCGATAAGGCAATCCCCACACACGCCTCATTACATTATCGGGGTTCTTTTTAGCGACGCATCCATTACCATTTTAATATTTTTCCAAACATCCTCTATATAATATTTTTAATTTTTACTATGAAATCAATTCTAATAGTTATACTTTTAACTGTTTGATTCGTATAGTATAAAAAGGAAACAAAATAGAAATTATAAATATATGTAGGACCCCACTCGCATCAACTTAAGCGAGTGGTGCAACACAATAGGACGAACCATTTAACTCTTGTAACACTGTACCAGAATTTGGACTTAGTTTAGCTAGAGCATCTGCACCATTAATGTTTTCTATGAGAGTACATTTGAAGGTAATATTCCAAGGCCTTCTCAAATACTTTCTAATACAATCTGTTCCGGTATTGGGGACCGCCGCCGAAGAACCCTTAGCAGAATGACTTGTCTTTAGGAAAATTTTTGCATTTTTACACTATTAACTTGATTGCATAAGTGGGGATCTGGTTGTTGGAATCGCGTAATCTTGAGTTTTGAAGTGAAACCATGCATAGTGGTGTATTGAATGTGATTGATGTCAATCCAATCTTTCTTTTATGTGCTTATTGCTTTCGATTTTATTTAGTTTTGACTTACTCTTGCTCAAGGATAAGCAAACGGTTTTAAGTTCGGAATTTTGATAATTATTATATATGATTTACTTTAATAAATATTTTACGACAATCTTTTTTTTATGCTTTTGGACCTTTGCTTGAAGTTAATTTTCATAATTTACAAATAAATAGTTATAGTCGAAATGAAGAGTTTAATTTAATTTTTAGCTATGTGTTTAGTTAAAGAGAAAGATTCAAAAAGTTCAAAATAGATGATCTAGTTTTAAAGAGTAACTCTCATTTAAACAAATCAATTTGGTTGTTTAAGCAAGATTAGAGAGACCTATTTTCATCAACAAGTATCGCTCAAGCTAGATCTTTAATGCTTAAACGAGCTCAAAGAGATTTTTTCTTTTTCTTTTTATTTTTTATCATTAAGGCTCACTTAAGATCAGAACACTTCTCACACATAAGAGAGATGACTTTCATAGGTCTACCCTTCACACGTCTTTGCTAGCTTAAGCTAGGTATCAAAGTTTCTCAAGGGAACCAAACTCTAATGATTTTCCATTTTTGATTAAGTGACACATATTGATTCCCTTAAGCATGAGGTTGGTGTGACCTAATTATTTAAAGGTTGGTAAATGGAGTTATGACCTCTTTAGGAAACAACTGCATAGCATTTCCATGACCACACCTATTTCCTACCTCTCTTCATCTTTTTTTACTTTTCACAAAACTCATTATTGTTGGATATTAATGTAATTAGACCTTATTTCACATATCTTTTCTAAATTGTTTATTCAAGATTTTATTCAACTATTAGGTTTTTTTTCTATTCTTATTGAGACTTGGTCGCTCATATATAATATGATTTCTTAGGATTAAAAAAAAGATGTTAGAAAATGCTTTTGAAATTGTGAATATCGAAAGAGAAACTAATAAAACTTATATTTAGAGATAGAGTAATTAAGGTGTATTAGCCAATTTTTCTGACCTCTTATCATAATATGTAAGTTGTTTTCTTAACATTTTCAAGTAATTGATAGATGAATCAAAGGACTTGGAGCATGTTTGGGAAAAATGTTTTCCAATAAATTCAGTAGTTTTGAAAGAAAAAATGGTTTTAGAGAGAAAAAAAAGTTCAATGTTTAGGCAAATAAATTTTATTTTGAATAATAATATAAAAATTTAAGACTCGTATTTATTTTTCAATTAATTCCTTTTTTCCCTTCTAAAACTGATTAACTATATAAAAGTTAAACAAAATTAAATATCATAAAATCACTTTTTAACAAATCTACCAAAAAAATATATTCATTTTGATTATAATCAATAATAAAAATAATCAATTATTGAAATAATTCAAGTTTCATACCTTTCCTAAAAACACTTTTCACATCTAAGAAATTAGGGTCTAAGTAATTTTATGGGTTATTGGTTATAATTCAAATTTTACTAGTGGAAAAACAACATTTTATGATACATCTTTTATGTTGGGGTGTTATCCACACGACATAAAATGGACATGACAACATAGTTGTAAATATGCTAAAACGTATGATAGATATTGACTTATTTATCATAGATTATTCTTTCTATGACAAGTAAGTCAACACCCGTCATAGAATGTGTTATCAGGCTCTGACTTCAACCTTTCTATGATGGATGTTGACTTACCTATCATAGAAAGAAATACTCTATGATGGATAAAACACCACTCAAAAGTGCTTTTAATAGGGTCATTGGCAGTGCAAATTCAATTTGCACTATTGTCATGGTTACTGTTCATTATCTCTTTCCTTCTTATTGTGCCAACCCCTTGTTTAAGATTTTGGTTTTGTCCACTCCCAACACTGTCATTTTCACTCGTTGGTGACATTCTCATCCCTTCTAGTGTTTCCTTCTAGTTCAGGTGTCTCATCCAGGTTCATTGCATTCCTCCAATTTTTGTTTAACTTTTGTTGTATTGAATTGCTTGGTATAGTTGCTTGTTGTTTTTTT